GCGGCCCCGGGCCTCCCCAGCTCCGCCACGACGTCCTGCCTGCCGAGCCGGCCGCGTTTAATGTCGGGGTTTTTAAGCCGCCTGGGCAATGGTTTTACAGCGGGTAAGAGACGCCGTCCGTCCCTCCGGCCCTTTCACAGCCGTGTGTTTGATGCATTGCCCCATTACGTTTACAACCGACCCACTAGGGTTTATGGCATCTGATTGTCAGTGGTCCCCTCTGGGTTCTCTACCTCTTTTTGCAGCATCGTTACTGCCTCATTGACTTACTCTTTGGGGCTCTGGGACTGCAGAGCTTTGACACAATATATCTTCTCTTTTTTCCCCCCTTTTTTTAAGTTTTCCACTAACCTACACAATCCCAACTTGGGTGAAAGATAGAGTTACATGTGTAGAATTGCATCATTTCTAAAAAGTAGCTTCCTTTCTCTCCTTCTCTCCCAAAATCCAGGAGGGGGAAAAAATGAATGAGGTAAAGGAGGCTCTAAGAAACATAGAGCAGAACTACAAGCTCTTCCTGCAGCAGCAGTTTACGTTTATCGGAGCATTGCAGCACACCCGGGAGAATGCACATGACATGATCAGACCTGTGGCAAGCATCAGCCAGGTACAAAGTATTCAGCACCGAGTTCTGTGCCAATGAGAACAGGGACCACTACAGTGCTGTCGCGCACTCGGGTCTAGTTCAGGGATGAATAAATGTTTTTATTAAGGGAAGATGCACAAAAACTCTCTAGTAACATTTGCGTGTAACTCTGCAAACCAGTGGCAAAAAATTAAGTAGGGCAGAGAAATATCTGTGTTAGGTCTTCTCATTTACAGATAAGGAATTTGATTGCTGAGCATCACTTTATGCTTTAGTTTAACACCATCATTTCGCTGCTGAGGCATAGCCAGAAATACAGGGTACAAAAAACCAATCAAACCAACCCTCCTTCCCCAGCCACACATGGAATCTGTAATCCTTAACTTGCAGTAACCAGCATGCTTGCCTCTTCCCCCTGGTATTGGGACTGCTGTATCTTTCTATAGTGCTTATTAAAAATAATGGCTGTGTTAGAGAGGTAGGATGATGGATTGAGGGCTGAAAGTCCCAAGTGGACTAGGGGTTTTCTGGGCTGGTAAGTGAATTGTCTAGGAATTTTTATAACACGGGATGTTTTAAGTAGTGCAAAGAACTTAAACCACTGGCATGCAGAGAGGCGGGGGGAAATCTAAATAAATTTAGAATTGTGGATGTGAGGCAGCAGAACCCAGGCACAACACCCAGCTGGATGCCAAAGCCAGAGTAAAAGCCAAGCTGTTATTAGGATTAGGACACAGAAGCGAGCTGGTTGTCTTTTCTAAGGGCTGACTTTCTCTAATATAAGGGCTTTGCTCATAACATTGAAGAGGATTGAGACAGACATTACACTGAACCATTTTATCCAAAAATAGGCATTGAGGTTTTGTATGACATGCTGTTTCTAAAAGTGCCAATATTTCACTGGTATTGCACAAGCTTGGACTCTGCTTCTTGGCAGGGGTAGGGGTGGAAGGCTTGCTTGTTGAGGGGGGGGAGGGCCACCTCATAAGTAACAATTTCAGCAATTATATTGATCCACGGCATCATTTGTGATATAGTAACATGTGACCGTAGTGGTGGCGGCAAACTGTACTGCACGGGTAGCCCTGAGGGCACAACCACGTTACCCCAGAAGGTGGAAGGGAAAGGGAAAAGAGCAAGTTATGGGAAGAACAGGTGCGGAAGAAGAACAGAATTGGTGCAGATATGGAAGAACGGAATTGGTGCAGCACATACTGGTGGTGTGTTGTGCAGGAACTGAACTGCTACCAAAGAAAGCTGACTGGGGACAAAACCAGACATCCATTTTATTTCACTAGCATTCTCCTGAATCAGCCCAACCCTATTTTTA